TCAACATCCTGTATCTGACTATAGCCCTTTGCAACCAAACGTGTTTTGTACCTTGCATTTTCGACTCCTAGAATACCTTTTTTCTTCTTGAAGACCTATTTGCATCCAACAATTTTCTTATCTTGAGGCAGCTTCACAGGAACCCAAGTTATATTTCGATGGAGAGACTCAATTTCTTCATTCATTGCAATCAACCACTTAGCAGAATCATCACAAGAAATCGCTTCTGAATAAGTAGTAGGTTCACCAATTATATCAGTTTCTTCTGCAACAGACAAAGCATATGCAACCAAATTTGCATATCTTTGTGGTGGTCGAATATCCCTTTTTGGCCTATCTCTAGCAATGGAATATTCTTCCTCTTCTGAATTATTTTTATCAGTAGATTCAGATGCATCTACTGGCACTTGTTGAATAGAAGGACCAGAACTACCAATCTCAAGATCCACCTACTTCTGCATACTATCATCTGTTTGACAAGAACTAGAAGACTCCTTCTTGGAAGATAACATAGAAAATTCATCAAAAATAACATCTCTACTGATTATAAATTTTAGAAATTTAGGATCAGGACACCATAATCTGTATCCTTTCACCCCCAGAAGCATACCCAAGGAAAATACACTTTTTAGTTCGAGATTCTAATTTTTCATCATTTACATGCATGTATGCTGGACACCCAAAAATTTTAAAATCAGAATCATTAGCAGGAGTACCTGACCAAATTTTCTCAAGAGTTTTAAAATTAAAAACAATAGAAGGAGCACGGTTGACAATATAACAGGCCATAGAAATTGCCTCTACCCAAAAGTCCTTTTGTCAACCCTGCATTGGAGATCTCCAAGAGTGTTCTATTCATACGTTCGACCACACCATTTTGTTGAGCTGACATCCTGACAGTGTGATACCGAACAATTCTTTCATTCTTGCAAAATTCATCAAATTCTCTTTCACAAAATTTCATGCCAAGCCGCTTGATCTGTTTTCCTGTCTATTTCTCAATCAAAACTTTTCATTGCTTGAAAGTGAGGTAAACATCATTCTTATGTGATGCGGATACGGGTGTGCAACAACTTCAACCTTGGGTCAAGAATCCTTTGGTCAACATTGGTGGTTCGATGACAAGATCAAGATCCAAGAGTCTTGATCATTCACCATACAAGCAAAGAGCAAGCTAAGTTTGAAGATTTGGTGGACCGTGAAGTTACCTTGTTCACTTGTACGTTTGAAGTGAAAGAATGATCTCATACTTGTTAGTTTAGTTAGTAGTTGTTTTAAAGCTACCTAGTTTAGTAATCGCACAAAGGACATGTTGTCCTTTAGTTTTAATCCTTAAAGTAGCTTAGCTAGTTGGTCATAAGCTTGCTTTAGTCAAGCACTAACGTTATTTGTTCGTATTAAGTTGATTAGGTTTTCCTTAAGGGTTTTCCTAGTTGCACTTGGGTTTGGGCCGAGTTTAGCAAGGGAAATTTCAAGTTGGATTAGGTTTTTGTTGGCAGCTTAGTTTAGGTCTTTTATACGCCTATATAAGGCTTCTTGTCTTTCAAAATAAGGGACGGAATATTACAACCAGAAATCGTGAGGAATTTTCCTTCAAGTTTTTAATCGAACTTACTCTTGAATTCTTGAGTTTATAGCTTAGGATTCAAATCAGACTTTATCGATTAGTTTGTTCCCTAATCGTGGTGTCTCTTCATCCATCTTTATTTGCTTAAGGTTGCTGATTACCTTCGTGTGTCAGAAGTCTTGAGTTCATGAGAACAATCGAGTTCAATTTCCATTGGGAGAAAAGGTCCAACTCTGATATTACAAGTTGGGAGGTTCTAGAAGGGTCTTCCCCTAGGATTGCTCATCAGTTGGTATCAGGAGCATCAGGTTGATTCTCTTTCAATTGAAGTTGCTCATATCTTGTTAGTTTGTGTCTTTTGTCCCAAAAAAAAAAACTGTAGCGAATTACTGTTTATCGTACTGTAGCGTACTGTTCACGTTACTGTTCATCCGAGTCAAAAAAAAATCTGGTTTGTCTCTGTTTTCTTGCTGTCGAACTTAGGGTTTATTAACAAAAAAAAAAAGTCACGTACCTTATATTGTTTTAGTGTCCAAGTTGTTGGAATTTTTTTTTGGTATTGCTGAAATTCTGTTTTGCCTATTTCTTGAGTATTGGTTGTTATTCTTGCAAACCTTGGACACCACAACATAATTTGGGGAAGTTCTTGAGTTTCTTGAACAAAATTCTTGAAGTTCTTGGACCACCAAGTCTTGTTTTGAAAGTTCTTAAACAATAAATCAAGAACTAGGGTTTTCTTGGAATTTGCATAACCTTTCATCCATTTCTTGAAATTGTTGGTGTGACCTGAATTTGTGTTCCTTGAAGAGCCAAAGCAAAAAACAAAGAAAAACAAAAGAAAAAAAAATGAACAAAATAAAAGAAGAGAATGAATCGGCTCTCATACAAAGGAAATCAGGTTTCCAATTCTTGAATGGTTTCCCAAATCCTTGAGTTTCCAAATCTTGCTTGGTTTCCAAATCTTGATTAGTTTCCCAAAATCTTGAGTTTTCAATTCTTGATTGGTTTCCCAAAACTTTGAGTTTTCAAATCTTGATTGGTTTCCAAATCTTGATTGAATTCCAACAACCCCAAATGACCTAACCAGCCCCGAAACACACCCAAATCAGTTTCCTAAACCAAACCTAAACTACCATAAACACCTTAGCCAAACCGCCTTTGAATTCTTGAGTTTCTAAAATCGGTTGAACTAGTTTTTGCGAGCCGATTTGCTTGAAATTTAAGGACTGGTTCTTGCATTATTTGAGCACCCCAAAAGACCACTTACCCTCTGAAATACTGACCAAAAACTCAGCAAAAATAGCAGCTCAAAAAAAGTTCTAGCTTCGGGTAGAGTTTTCTAAGATTTGCAAAAATTCTGCTTTATGTCTTGTTACTTGCTTATAGGGTAATTAATTCTAGAATTTTTGAGAGTTTGAGTTGTTTTAAGAACTTCGAGAAGGAAAGTTGAGAGTGAGTGTGTTTTTCCTTGAGTGATACACGAGTGCTTTGCAAGGTAGACTAGGACACATTTGTTTTACAGATTTGACAATATGTCTCAAGAAGGGAACATATCCGAGCAGTCTGAGGCTGACGTGTCACTCAAACTGGTGCTCCAAGCTCTTCGAAAACAAGTGGCGAGACATGAATTTGTGATGACACAATTATCCGACAGATTGGCTGCCATTGAGATGCAAGGTACCGGAGATACATATAATAGGGTTTCGAGTGTTCAGAATGCTGATCATGATGCAGCTGATGAGGGATATCATTCTAACACCTCACTTCGATCAAGGAAAAACCAAAGGGAGGCAAGAGAAAGTCGAGATAGACCTAGGAGAACCGATGACAATCTTGGTTCCATCAAGACCAAGATGCCTACCTTTCATGGGAAAAATGATCCTGAAACTTACTTGGATTGGATTAGGCGAGTTGAGCAAGTGTTTGAAGTTCACAATTACTCTAAAGAGAAAAAGGTGAAACTTGCGGCTATTGAATTTCAAGATTATGCATCTATTTGGTGGGAGCAAGTATGTGCCACAAGGAGAAGAAATAGGGAACAACGTATTGACACTTGGACTGAAATAAAGCAAGTGATGAGGAAATGATTTGTACCCTTCTATTATACCACGGAGTTGTACAATCGGCTCCAACGACTCACTCAAGGATCTAATTCAGTTGATGAGTACCACAAACAAATGGAGGTAGCGATGATAAGGACCAATGTACAAGAGGATCCGGAAGCAACCATGGCGAGGTTCCTTAATGAATTAAATCCTGACATTAGGAAGAAGGTTGAGCTTCAAGACCACTTTGAGCTTCAACAAATGGTGTCTTATGCAGAGAAGGTGGAAAAGCAAGCCTTACCTATGAAAACACCTAGTGGCCGATCCACTATATTCTCTTCCACTCCTCGGAGAAGAAATCAATTGCCAACAACCAATGCGTGGCCAAAGCAAGGTAATAGAGAGAGGGAAAACAAGCGGATGGAACAACCTTCCCATTCGAGTACAAATTCTTCTAAACCAGGCCCACGGCCGACTCTTCCAGGGGTAAATACATCTACCAACCAGCCAAAGGCATGCTTCAAATGCAAGGGAATTGGCCACCTCATGGCTCAATGCCCTAACCGAAGCATCATGTACATGAATGAAGAGGAAGTGTGGCAAAGCGAAGGAGAGGAGGAATATGCGGACATGCCACCGCTTGAAGAAGAAGGGAAGGATGATGACATTGTTGAGATAGAGGAGGACCCCGTAGCTCGAACTATGGTGACCATGAAAGTGCTCAATGCACAAGCTCAAGAAGATGATCTCCAATGAACCAACATCTTTCATACGAGATGCAAAATTGGAGATGAGGTATGTCTTATGATCATTGATAGTGGCTCTTGTACTAATTGTGTAGCTACTGATTTTGTTGAGCAAAAACACATTCCATGGACTTACCACCCTAAACCATATAGATTGTCTTGGTTAAATGATGGGGGGGAAGTCAAGGTGACCAAACAGGCTTTAATTGCTTTTTCTATTGGTCGATACAAGGATCAAGTTTTATGTGATGTAATTCCTATGCATGCTAGTCATGTTTTGTTGGGGCGTCCTTGGGAGTATGATAGACAGGCTGATCATATTGGACTTACTAATAAGTATAAGTTCATTATGGACAATCTCAAAATCACTGTTTCATCCTTGACACCTACACAAGTGTATGAAGAACAATTGCATCTAAGAAAAGAGAGAGAGAAAAGGCAGCTGAGAGAGCAAAGAAAAAGCCAAATGTGAGAGAGAATGAGGGAAAAAAGAAAGTAGAGGTCGAGTTGAGTGAAAAAGAAAATTCGAGTGGAAAAACCTTCAGTGAGGCTGAGAGCTTGAAAGTAAAAAAACAAGGCTTCTATGCAAGTGTGTGTGAAGTAGATAGGGTTTTGAATGCACAAAGTTTTCTCATAGTACTTATGTACAGGGAAGCTGATTATTCTTCTTTTTACACACTAGACATAACCGATTCTCTTTCTAGTGCAATCTACTCTCTTTTGCAGGAATTCAAGGATGTGTTCCCGAAGGAACTACCGAAAGGATTACCTCCAATTCGAGGCATTGACCATCAAATCGATTTTGTTCCTGGAGCAATTCTACCAAATCGACCAACCTATAGAGCAAATCCGGAGGAAACAAAGGAAATTCAAAGGCAAGTCGATTCCCTCCTTGAAAAAGAACAGGTTCGTGAATCTCTTAGTCCTTGTGCAGTTCCAGTTATTTTAGTGCCTAAGAATGAAGGGACTTGGAGAATGTGTACAGATTGTCGTGCAATCAATAATATTACTGTTAAGTATCGTCATCCTATTCCTAGGTTAGATGATATGTTAGACGACTTGCATGGGGCAATCATTTTCACTAAAATTGATTTAAGATCTGCTTATCATCAAATAAGGATAAAGGAAGGAGATGAATGGAAAACTACCTTCAAAACAAAGTATGGTCTTTATGAGTGGCTTGTGATTCCTTTTGGCTTAACAAACGCTCCAAGTACTTTCATAAGATTAATGAACCATGTTTTACGGCATTTTCTTAGGAAATTTGTTGTTGTTTATTTTGATGATATATTGATCTTTAGCAAGTCTTTAGATGAGCATGTTGAGCATTTGAAACTTGTTTTAAGTGCCTTGCGTGAAAATAAACTATTTGCTAACATGGAAAAATGTGTCTTTTGCACTCCTGAAGTTAACTTTCTTGGATATATTGTTGGTGCAAATGGCATAAGTGTTGATCCAGCCAAGGTAAATGCCATCTTGGAGTGGCCGACTCCAACCAATGTGTCTCAGGTAAGGTCTTTTCATGGTCTTACAAATTTCTATAGGAGATTTGTTAAAGACTTTAGTACTATTGCAGCACCTTTGAATGAGATCATTAAAAAGAATGTGGGGTTTCAATGGGGAAAAGAGCAAGAAGAGTCATTTAATAAGCTTAAGAATTTGTTAACTTCAGCACCTATTCTTGCTTTGCCTAATTTTGATTTGACTTTTGAAGTTGAATGTGATGCTAGTGGAATAGGCATAGGGGCTATCCTACATCAAAACAATAGACCCTTGGCATATTTCAGTGAGAAGTTGAGTGGGGGAGCTCTTAATTACCCTACTTATGATAAAGAATTGTATGCTGTTGTGCGTGCTCTTGAAGTGTGGCAGCATTATCTTATGCCTAAGGAATTTGTGATACATACTGATCATGAATCAATTAAATTCCTTAAGGGTCAAGGCAAGTTGCATAAAAGACATGCTAAATGGATTGCATTTATTGATTCCTTTCCATATATCATTAAGTATAAGAAGGGGAAAGATAATGTCGTTGCAGATGCATTGTCTAGGAGGTATACCTTGATCACTACCATGAGCACTAAGTTACTTGGTTTTGAACACATTAAAGACTTGTATGCACATGATGACGATTTTTCTAATGTGTTTCAAGCTTGTGCACATGCTGCATTTCAAAAGTTTTATAGGCATGAAGGTTTTTTGTTCAAAGAAAATTGCCTATGTATTCCCAACTGTTTACTTAGAGAATTACTTGTTAGAGAAGCCCATGGCGGAGGGTTGCTGGGACATTTTGGCGTTGATAAAACTCTTGACATTTTGCATGAACACTTCTATTGGCCTAAAATGAGGCGTGATGTTGCTAACATCTGTGATAAGTGTTTGAAGTGTAAGCAGGCAAAGTCAAGGAGTAATCCTCATGGATTGTACACTCATCTACTCGTACCTCATGCTCCTTGGACAGACTTATCCATGGATTTTGTGCTTGGTTTACCAAGATCTTCTAGAGGTATGGATAGTATCTTTGTTGTAGTGGATAGATTTTCTAAAATGGCTCACTTTATCCCTTGTAGGAAAACAAATGATGCGCTCCATGTTGTTGATTTATTCTTCAAGGATGTGGTTAGAATACATGGGGTACCACGTACTATTCTAAGTGATAGGGATGTGAAATTCTTAAGCTATTTCTGGAAATCACTTTGGGGAAAGTTGGGAACTAAGTTGTGAGGACCCGAATTTTTCTTATTTTATTTTATTTTACTAGCTTAATTAATTATTTACTCACCCGTTTTCCCTGAATGATTTATTTCAATTATTTTAAACTTATTTACATGGAATAATATCTCAATTATATTTTTAACACGTCTCGTTAGTAAAATTAATTTTTTTAGGGCTCGTTTAGCGAGAAATAAGGAGTATACATTTTTCGAGGCTATGTTCGATCCGGGAGTACATTAGTCTTGAAAAATTAAGAATGATCCATAGTAGATTAAGAAAAGTTAATTGAGAAATTATATGTAAGTTAAAGTTTAAGCTTATACCGTGCGCGCGTCGAAAGTTTTCCAAAAGATGCGTTAGTACAATTAATTGGAGATTTGAGAAATTAATGCTAGACTCATGTGAGGACTCATGTTTTATTTCTAAAATAGTCATTTTCATGGTTATTTACCTTAGTATTAGTTGGTTACATTATCGTTATAAAAATTTCTTAGAAATTACACTTTATCGCGCGCGAATCAAAAATTCACATAAATCGAGCCAGAGCGGCGAAGTGGAGATTTAAGAAACTTAATCTAGACTACTAAGGGTGAATAATTATAATGTTTAAGGAAGTGCATTAGAGGTTTAATGCACAAGTGAAACGAACCCGAGAAGAATCAGGCACGAAACGCGCGCGAACGCGCACTATTGAAGGGTTGACTTTTAGAACATTTTTTGCCACACACTTAAGCTTCTTCAAGAAGCTTTTCCACTAGCCATTTCGCTCTCCTTTCTCCCTCAAGACAGTCGACTCTCTCAAGCAAGGAGGAGCAAGAAAATTTCTTCTTCATTTCTCCCAATCCAACCATCCATTTCACTCCAAACTTGCAACTTAAACTCAAGACCACTTGGAGATTCACTTAGGCAAGGAGAAGAGCTTTATTTCCACGATTTCTTGGAGCTTTCTTGTGGCCAAAAATCTAACCTTTAGTATCTAAGAAGGTATCACATGATCTAACCCTTGAAACTTGTTATTTATGAGTTAGATTAAGCTTAGAAACTTGTAGCTTCTTATGGGTAACTTTGTTTGGTTATAAATCTTGTGAGTGGGCTCTATGAAATCCCACATTGGACTTGATGGGCTGATATAATGATTTTAGATGTTATATGTGCTGTTTTAGTGCTAAACTAGTGGATCTAAATTGAGGAAGTGGAAAGAAATCAAAGGAAACTTGAAAGAGGAAAGGGCCGAATCTGCCCTGTTTGTGCAGAGGCTTTAATTCAAAATTTTTGTAGTTAAATTGACTTGATTTTGATGTAAATGGGTAACATAGGTTGTGTATAAAGTTTCCTCAAAAATGTACGTGATTTGGATGAGTGAATGTTGAGATTTCAAAAATTTGCCAAAGCTAGAAACGGGTGTCCAGAATGCTCTGGCAGTGTTTTTGTTTCGGCCATAACGTTTTGCTTCGACATTGAAATTGAGTGCCGTTTGCGGAATTAGAAACTAGACACTTCCAATTTTCTAACGGTATCAAATGCATGCCCTGATTCCACCTGAGTGAGCCGTACCAACCTTGTAAAGTTGCCCGTTCTGTTTCTCATCTGTACTGGAAGCCCTGTTTTGAGCTGCGAATGGATGCTCAAATATGAACTAGTTATGGACAGAATTTCAAAAAGATTTCTTCTAAGAAATTGTAGCCTTGCGAATTTATTTTTCAATGCCACCAAGTACGCTCAATTCCAAGTTGAATTGAGTGAATTATGGCCAAATTACAGACCTGCATCATTGCTTGAAAACCCTCATTTTTGGACTGATCAATGGCCAATCTTGTTTGGGACTTGATATTTTGAAATTCTTGGTGTTAATCACCTACCAAACACACTTTGGATGTTTTCTAGACCTTGTCTTCATAAATGAACCATGTTTGAGATGATTTCATTGACCCAAAAGTTAGGAAAAGGAAAATTGAAGTACAAGGTAGATTTGCCTTGGAAATTCTTGGAATTTTAATGGTTTTGTTAACTGACTTCCCATGTGAATTTTTGCATGAAAATTGACAGAGAAATATCCCTTATATGGTAGGGTAATACTACCAAATTTGGTATGATTCCAAGTCCATTTCAATGCCCAACTGAAGTCCCAAAATTTATGTTTCAAATCTGGAAAATCCTTATTCAGTGAGAAAATTCCAGCAACTTTGAGCTACTATATCTTGGCGCTCAAAAATCCAATTCTTGTTCCATTTGTGTTTTTTAAACTTTGATTGTAACTCTAATTGAGTTCCAAATTTCAGAGGCTAGTTCGCATTATGTGAATTTTGCCGAATTTCCAAATTTGGCCAAAAATCAACCCAAATCTGTCTTGGTATATCAAAACCACAACTTGAAGCCGAATTTTGAATGTCTTCCATTTAGAATCATGGAAAAGTGTTTTCCACGAACTTTTAGTACTTGGAAGTAGTTTCCAACGGTACCAAGTTTTTCAATTTTGGACTTTTAAAGAGTGAATTATGATTTTTCAAAGAATGCCCCTAAATTCGAAAATTCTTGGCCATTTTATAAAATTTTCGCGCGGGAACATTTTTAAAGAACTGGCCGGATAGTTGGCCGGATTGGTGGTGAAAATTGAAAAAAAAAATTGGGATGCTCACTGCCTCGAATCCGGCCGGATTGTGACGTGGCACCTTCAAGTTGTCTTTGACCGCTCGTTTGAAAAATAATTTATACGATTTCATACCTACATGTTTCCATCCAAAGATTTTAAAGATGAAAATCAGACCTTTCTTGTGTTTTTGAACCCCACTTTTGAGTCTCGATTTACAAGAAAATTTAAACTCATCTTCGCGATATTATCTAGATTGTACAAGTGTACAATCCCTCTCTTGTTAAGAAAGCATTTTTAAGTGATAGTGTGTAATAATTAATTATTATTTGCTCAGTTGCTCAAGGGGACCTTCAAGAGGAACTCGAAGCGGACGCCTAAACACTTGTTTAAACACTTACTCACTTGTTTTGAATAGGTGAGTGTTCCATATAGGAGTACGTTACTTGAATAGTTTTACGACATGTTTACTCCATGATCATTATGTGTTTAACTGTTAAGTGTTACCGATAATTGCTCCTATGAATTTTTTCACTGTTTTAAGACGAGTGTGTACTTTATCTCATTCGACCTACTAAAATGATAAATCTTACCGTTAACCGAAATTATTTACCATTTACCATTCATCGTTTACCGTTTACCGTTTACCGTTTACCGTTCACCGTTTACCGATTTATTTGATTACCTGCTTACTTGATTACTTGATTATCGTAAATTACATGTTCATATGAAATTACCGCATGTTGCTTATGTGTTTAAGTGTTAAGTGTTAATCATAATTGCTCATATGAAATCGGCCACCATTTTAAGACGAGTGTGTACTTTATCTCACTCGACGTACTAAAATGATAAATTTTTACCGTACACCAATTTACTTGATTACTTGTGCATGTTGTAAGCTCTAAACTGAACTGGGTCCTGCCCTTGGTTACTAACCTACTCGAGTTAGGACTGGGCTCGGTCGGGTAGGTTGGAATCCTGGGACACCGTTTCGGTATACTCGAGTACTACCATTGGAGGAATAAGGTGATGGCCAGACAAACCGAGGGGATTCTGAAGTTATAAGGTACAGTTAACCGAAATAGTTCCACTGGAACACCCTATCCTTCAATGTGTGTTTATTTTACATAATGATAACTGTTTCATGCTAATGTGCCAACGTGCGACCTGAGTCATACCTGTGATATGCTCAAATTACTTGTACAATGATAACTGTCCCATGTTAATGTGCCAATGTGCAACCTTAAATCATACATTGGGTATGCTCAAATTACTTGATTTATTAGAACTGCTAGAGTGTCTTGGAACCTCACTGGGCTGTGTAACTCATTCCATGTTTTTGTTTTCCTTAACAGGGTTCGAGACCAAGAGTGCTCGTGATAGTACTAGATTGTTTTCATTTGAAGACCTTAAGTTGTATTATAACGGATGGTTGTAGTACATATTCTTTTGGGTTGTATTAAACTTGAAAGCTAACTAATTGTAAGTATACAATATTTTGGAGTTCTTTAATTATATGCTGAAGTTATTTGAAGTATTTCGGGCTTTTGAACTGTGGATTGTAGTGAGTCCTGGCGAGAGTTGGGCGGGCGTCTCGCGGATACCCTTTGGTTCGCCTTAGGGAGAAGTGGGGGCGTCACAACTAAGTTGTTATTTTCTACTTCTAGTCATCCTCAAACGGATGGTCAAACTGAGGTAACCAATCGAACCCTTGGTGCTTTATTTCGAGCCATTGTTCAAAAGAATTTGAAGAAGTGGGAAGAATATTTGCCAATTGTTGAGTTTGCATATAACCGAACCACTCATTCTACTACTAATCATTTTCCTTTTGAAATTGTTTATGGGTTTCAGCTGCTAACTCCTCTAGATTTATCACCTATTCCTGTTGATGGGTGTTTAAGCTCAGATGGTGTCAAAAAGGCAGAGGCTGTTCGGACCTTGCATGAGAGAGTTCGAGCTCAAATTGAGAAGAAAAATGCGCGATATGCAAAACATGCG